ACTGGTCGGTATTGTTTGGTGAATGGGGCGCCCAGGCCTAGTTTAGATATCACTCACCACTGGTGTTAGCCATGGCAGATAACGTGACTGAAGGTCACCGGGTTCCGTGTACAAGTGTGCTAACCGCTGCAGCAGCGCTCCATCCCAAAAAAAATATTATTAGTCACATTACCTCGCATCACTCTAGCAAAGTGCATCTCTTAGAACGTTGACCACCGCAAACAGTATCCTAACATCAAACAGTGAGACGAAGATAACACAGCATGAACAACAATACCAACCGCAATGACAACAGATATCTTTAAGTTATTAAGCAGGAAGGGTCAAATAAGCTGCTCGGGTTATTTGCATGGGCGTTCTTTGACAATACAGATGTTGTATAGTATAGATATTAGTTACAACCATGGTTAGATAGGTCGCGATACAAACAGCTTCACATGTATCGGGTACACAAAAACGAAACGCATACATTTAGTAATTAATTATAATGAAGAAATATGAAAATCATTAGAAAACAATAGTGATTTATCATCGGCACATTAATAAGCGAGGGAATTCAGAGGGGGGGGGGGGGGTAATGTGCGTTCACATGGCACGCGAAGAAATCAAGCACCCGTGTACAATTACGCGATTCCTCCGTGCAGCACGGCAAATAATTAGCTGACAACCGCCGCAACGTTGATCCACTGCGGACGCACGGAGTGAAACGCCGGTTGTTCAGCACCACGGAGAGCGCCTCCGCGTTCTTTAATATTGCAGAGCCTCTGCTCCGGGGCTGGTTCTCTGTGCTCCAGGGAGGAGAGCACGCATCCTATCTGCTCGGAGATCACTCTTGCAATGCACGGGGTTGCATCGCCCAAGAATTATGGCTCCGAGTGAGAAACTGTCAACTCCTACTTAAGCCCCTGGGGGGGGGGGTAACTTGCTTTGCGCCAGTCAGCACGGCCCGATTAATGACTGTATTGTTATTCCGTATGGATGTACTGTATGTTGAACTTCTTTCGTACTCTACTGGCTCTCCTACGCTGTTATTGCGTTTGTTGTAATGAGTCAAATTACATGCATACACACACTATGGGCTTTGCCAATTAATATGCATGCATAACTTCCTGTGGGTGTTAATTATAATATTATTTACAGGCGTACCACCTCATGTGTTTCCAGAGGCAGAGGAAATGTTAATGGACAGCGATTCATGTGGTATCGAAGAATGGCACTGGAACATGACACTGCAGAACTACTTCGGAAGTCAATTCAAAAGGCCTCACGGGGTGGAGCGGTGGCGCAGCGGTTAGTGCACTGCACAGTGAAACCCTGCAACCAATCTGTAATCAATTCCCGACCACGACTGGCTAACATCCTTGGCGAGTGGTATATAGGTTAATGAGCCACCCACCTACCCACCATTTCACCAAACCGCAACTTACCAGATTGGTTAAGTATGGTCAAACGATGAGGCGTGGAGAGGCCTTCGTCAGTGAATTTGACAAAGGGCTGTGAATCAATATGATTATGAAAATAATTGTTATATGAATACGGCCGCAGTGGTCAATTCACCATAGAGTTGAACGGTGGCGGCATTTCCTGCTCTGATACTCCGAAATAAGACTTTATTCATAGTGGAGGAATCCGATGAGCTATAAAGCTATTGTTTCACAGATGTCCAGTAGCTTCTAACAATCAATTCTAGGTAAAGCATATTGAGTAAAAAAAGACACATCTTTGTAATGGCTATTCGTGTATTAGTTGGCAATAATAAGTATGCTAACTTGTCGCGCGCCACCACCGTCACATCGTAGTCGCTCGCTCTAGAATAGAGAGAGAGGACGACTCAAAGGCGGCAGGCGGAGGAACTACAGACGAGTGGGAAGGCAGCAGCAGCCACGCATCGAGCCGGTGCCAATCCCCCTCCCCCAAGTTCTGCCGTGCTTTGTATATTAAGGTGCTGTCGGCCATTAATGTGTGTTTATGTGGGGGAGGAAACCGGAGCACTCGGAGAAACCCCACGCTTGTGAGAGAGCGACACTCTATCCCATGCAGATGGAAACGCATTTGCTGTGACGCCTTCTTCTGGAAAGCCACGGGTATGGAGAAAGTTGAACAATTTGGGTGTTCCACCTAACCTCAATGCCCCTCCCCCCACAGTGCTGGATTACAGGCCATGTGCGCAACCACAATGGCCTGATAAATGCACAACAATACACTTCAAAAAAATTGACCCGAAATTACGTTTATCATGATATTCCGAAAACAAAGTCTGCAGACTGATTGTGTTGCTGTAGAAAGGGTTAAATATTTAAGTAAGCAATATATATTCGCTTTAGTCCATCAGCCTATTGGCTCTCCAAACCAACAAGCAGAATTTGTTTAAGCAATCCAACTCTGTACCGGTTGAGACCTTCTGGGTCTCATCAGCAGTCAGGCTCATTTAACAAATACTGCTGGATTACAAATGTTATTGACAGGAGCACCTGGAAGGTCAAAACCGGTCCAGGGTTTTGCTTGCTTCAACAAAAGTGGTTTAATGACATTGGACAGGAAAGACGCGTAATAGGCTGATAGACTTAAGCAAATATTTGTACGTGTATATGAGGAAGAACAGAGTATATATCAAATCTGAGTTATGCTAATATATACCTACAGTTGAGCTTTTCAGGGATAAAAAAAATATATAAACGCACTGCTACAATTGACAAAATGATTTAATCACAGGGTAGCTGAATTCCACGTTGGTCCCCGGCATCTCGGCGGCACTGGCTCAGCACATCTGACATGGCCATTATAATCCCTCCGAGCCGTGAGGGACACCCCGCGGGCAGTACATTCCATTAATTTCCACGTCGTCTCACAGCCGTGGGGTCGGGATGGAGGGAGACGCGGGGTTGGGCAGCAATTCCTCGGCAAGCCGCAACTCCACGCGTGCGCCCCGCCGCCCCAAACACCGCCCGCCGGCACCTCCCGTCCCACCGCCCGCCATGTGCGTGCCGTGCCAACCACACACGTTCCTCGCTACCCGGTCCGCGCGCCCTTATCAACGCGGGCGGATTAGGCTGCGTCTCGGTCTACATTATCAAGGGCAAGGAGGAGATGAATTGGCTTGCGTCAGGCCGTAAGTGGTGCAGCCTTGCGGGGTAATACACAGTGTCAAGGCGCATTTAGCACACGGTTGCGTTAATGCCCGGAGTACGCGAATGGGGAAAATGACAACTCCTCTTAGTTGCCGGCTGCGGGCTTTGCTGGCAGGGCTCGCTGCTGATCCGCTGCTGGCTTGATCCTCTCACCTCGTGGTTGCACTCACTCGTTCTCTTCTCTGTCATATAAACACAAAAAGACAAAGATCCCAATTATCACAACTCATTTGTATAGAACTGCTTTTGTGTTTTAGTTTGCTGTCTTTCCCCTGCACCTCCGATGAGCAGGGTTGGCTACGTACGGAGCGAATGAAATTAAATATACATACATGGCATTTATGGAGAAAGTGCTGTTAGCGAGTAGCACCTATAAAGGCCGGAATTGCACACGAAGGGGTTGGTGGCTAGCACCACGCCCGGCCGCCTTTGTCTCCCCAATTATGATTATTACACACCACACCAGTTGAAGCCCAGGTGAGAGTCTATGGGTTCATAGACTCTCACCTATGCACCTCTACATACTATTATGTTCATCTCCTCTATATATACACACACATGGTATCCTACTCATGCACAAAGAACGCAGAGCACACATTCATTCTCAGAATCTCTCCCACTCACACACATATAATGTATAATCTTTCAGACACAAATGCACGTACACACACTCTTAATAACACACAAACACTTCTATCCGCTGTCATACAGAGAAGTCATCCTCCCACACACACCATCCAGTACAGATAATGAATCGCCCATTTTCACACGCTCGTCACCACTGATGTTAGCTGTTGCTGGGAATCGAACACAGGTAGCAGTACACTAACTCTTACGCTACCACCGTAATGGAATATACAGACCTACAAAGACAAAGGTCCCCCGTATAGCCTAAACAGACTTTTAGCAAGCGGCACTCATACGCATAGATTCTGTCTCACTCTCTCACATACGGTTATAACAGCCGACATTCACTACTAACAAATACAAATATACCGGTATAGTCTTAATCAGACTGTTGGGACAAGTGCTGTTAGCGAGCATCTATGAAGGCCGGTACGGCAAACGAGGGAGTGGGTGGCCAACACCATGCTCGGTCGCCTTTGTCTCCTTAATGGCGATGTTTACACTCCGCACCAGATCCTCATAGGAGGCTGAGTCGACCGAGGGAAGGTCCAGGACCGTTTCAGATAATCGTCAATATTGTTGACCGTGAGCGGGAATTGAACTCGGTCCGACTGGTTCGTAGCGCTACGCGCTAACCGCTGCACTACCGCTCCCCATACATTCTCACCTGCACTCACACCACAACTCCTCTCACACTCTCTGCCCCTCCAACTATGACACTCACCGTTATTCACACTTGCTCACAATCTCACACTCTCACCCTGATGGCCTCCCTCACCTCGACGCACTCAGAGAGAAGCTGCCTCTCACACTGACTCGGTGCCTCTCTCCATCTCCCACTGATGTGACACTCTCTCTCTCTCACACACACACTCCCCCTATGTCACATGCTCTCACGCACACAAATAAAAAGATCCCCCCTATAGATTTAAACAGACTGTTGGGGCAAGTGCTGTTAGCGAGCACCTACTAAGGCCGACACGGCACACGAGTGGGTGGGTGGCCAACGCAAAGACAAAGATCCCCCCTATATCGTCTTTACCAGACTGTTGGAGAAAGTGATGTTCGTGAGCACCTATGAAGAAGGCCGGCACGGCACACGAGGGGGTGGGTGGCCTGCACCACGCACACAGACACACTCACTCTCCTCCCCACCTCCCTCTCGCTCTCTGACACCACGCTCCCTCCCCCTCCCATCCCTCTCTCCCTCCCTCTTGCATTCGCGCCCAGTTGAAATGAGCTCATGTGTGAGAGTGTGAGACTAAGCGAGCGTTCGGGGCGAGAGAGAGATCACCGTTTGCTATGACGGTCTCTTGTTTTGTTTTGACTGCCGACCGTCCAGGTGCGCGCACATGTGCTCCATGACTTCAAGCAGGACCTGTCTGTCTGCCAAGGCGAACACCAAAATCACCAGCATCCTCACCGACATCATCATAATTTGCTGCTGCTGCTGCATCCCGCCGAACAGCACAGCAGCTCTGGCTATAATTCCGCACGCGTTCAGAGAAGATTACAGCGCGGAGAGGACCCCGCTGGTGCGGCTGAAGAGCCTCGTACCGGACAGGCACGGAGCACCGCGGGGGGAGGAGGAGGAGGAACGCGGCCGTGCTGTTCGCCGCTCCTGAATTCATGCACTCATATGAAGGTAAGCTGATCCTACACGCCGTGTACACTGATCGCGGGCCAGCAATGCACAGTCTGTTTGGTGTCTGGTATTGCCCAAATGCGTAACACAAATAATGAATGTCCTTAGCATGTATTGACATAGCACATCCCATATGTAGGTAGGCTGTTGGGGCGAGTGCTGTCTGTTAGCGAGCACCATTAAGGCCGGCACGACACACGAGCGGGGGTGGGGCGGGGTGCACCACCACACCCGACCGCCTTTGTCTCCCCAATGCTGATGGTTTATACACATCGCACCGGGTAGTCATTAAATGCTGAGTCAACCTATATACATGCGTAGATAAAGTCTGTTTTTAAGTATTGTTAAGCGCATACACTCATTTGTAGGTATGGTGTTATATACTGGCATGCATGCATACACAGCTGACCTCTTAGCTACTAATGAATGCGTGCATCCATATACAGAAGGTATGATTATGTTTTGTATGCACAATTATACACACAGAGACAAGTGTTTATAAATGCGTACACATATCTACGTTCATTCAAAATATTTTATTTTTTTCCAATATATGTATGTATGTGATGTTACATACGTCTTATACAAAGACAAAGATCCACCGTATAGACATTAATACTGTGAGGACAAGTGCTGTGTGGGGGTGTGGCCAACACCACGCCCGGCCGCATTTGTCTCCCCAGTTTTGATCTTTTACACACCGCACAGGCAATAGTTTTGAGGCTGAGTTGACCTAGATGAGGTCCAGGACCGATTCAGATATTCGCTCGCTCCAAATCATACCCGTGCATGGGAATATAACTCTCACTTGGGTTCGTAATTCAGTGCACTGACCACTGCACCACCCTTCCCCACTTAGAGCACATGCAATTGTTTAATCCATGCACTTACATGGGTGTGTGTGTGTGCTATTGTGCCTTGTATATGTAAACACACACAGGTCATCTGTCTCATCTTCAGTAATGGATTTTAACACATGCGCTCACATGCAGGTTTACCCCACGCTGTAATGCACAACAAGCCTTATCTTAATTACATTCTGAAATACATGCGAACGTGTAGATAGTGTTGAGTATGCATGAACACAGGTCTGTCCGGATGTCTGGACGCATGCACTCGGTTCAGAGCTAACGAGATGTCTTATCGCAGGCAATTACACGGCTTTGAACGCATACACTCATAAACACCACAAACAAAGTGTACAGTCTGTAGCTTGTGCTGCTAAAAGGCGCAGACATACATGGCATATTAAACACACGCTCACGCATGTAGTATGTTGGTATACACACACAGAGATGCACTCGTGTTCACGGTACATGTAATGGTACAGATATATGCGATTGCATACATACACCATTCGTACGCAAAAGCCATACGCTGCATGTTATAATTCCTATAAACCGCTCTCAAAGAAACCACATCACGACCGCTTTAACGCTCAAGCTACTAACACTGCGCCCCTTGTTTTGATGCCTACTGGATTAACGCGTCCCGTCGTAGAGGTTGCGGAGTGTTTGCTCTGATTGCCGAGTTGTGTAAGGAGGGCAGTGTCGTCTACAATCTATGCGGTTATTGCATTGGTTGTGTGTAACCTTCAGATACTCAGCCCAGAACAGGCTGCAGAGATGCGCATCAAGGCTGCGTTCAGCACACTGCGGGGTGAGTCACTTGGATCACAGCGCCGCACAATACACACGTCTCTTCCTCCACATATCAACACACACACAACGTGTTTTTACACATCCCGTCAGCAAAGCTGCCTCTTTGCAGTGCATCATCGTACAGCGGAATTGGTTCAACGCAAACAACAACTCTGGAAAGGTTTTGACATTCAGTGCCTCATCGGTAGAGTCAGGCTCACTTGCACCAGTGCTGGTAAACTGCCAGATGTTGTGTCGGCACGGATCATCCTCCTGTTCTCTGTGGGATATGGGTCCTGAGTGGACGCCAAACCATATATAATACATAACACAAAGTCATCCTGAGTGCCGTCAATAATATAAACATCTATGTGAATAAGCAGACAATACGCCTTCCATAAGTATTCACAGTACGTACAGTGTCGATGCGTGTACTGTTGTAGACACATTACAGCTCTACACAACCAGCACAGTGCACATTTAGCAGCACTACATAACAGTAGACAAAGCAGTCAAGAATAGTACGTACTAAATACACAACAATTGACACTGAGCACTATTACAGTATACTAATAGGGTTTCCCTTTTTTTGCCAACAAAACTGACTCCTTTTGCAAGGAATCATGTTAACATTAACCACAATACTTTCATTCAAAATGCAAACAAAAACAATACTATGATTATTTATGCATTGTCCTTGAAACTCATTGGTCCACACCAGAGACAGCTTTTATTAGAGCCTAGTCTCATATGGTGATCGACCAAATGACGCCAAAAGGCGCACAGTTCAAAGACAACGCACTATCAGAGTAATGAGAGCTCGGGGTAAGCATGATTTACTATAACAGTACTCATAGCGCAGTGTACACAGTGTGCATGACAATATGCCAACCTAAAAATGCGACAGCATACAGCACGCAGTACACACAGTACACAATAATAGTGAACATGATATTCCACAGCGCGACATCACAGTATGTATGGAGATACACATAATTTCCATCGTACTGTATCACAGTACACACAGCATACACACCACAGTACAAAAAGTACCAGATTGCAGCACACAGAACAGTCCACATTCACAGAGTACGCAGTGCAAACGCATGACATTACACTAAATTGACATACTGCAACACAGAACATACAATGCTGATTTGTGTATTGTATAAACGTCACCGTACAACATATAATATTGTCATACCATTGCACTAAATTATAACACAGTACACCATTGATAACACAACACAGTACAGCACAGATCATCAGAGTACATTACAGCACAATACAACAAAACGGACAATCACAGTGCAAGATGGCACATCAGTGACAGTACATCACAGTATAACCTGGAACATCACAATGCACCAGCCCATCACAGTGCAGGCGACATACCATCACAGTACAAGACAATTCAATATCGCGCGTCACGCACACACCGGGCGTGAGAGTTCCACTGTTAATTATTAACTCTGTAATTGACCCCAGACAGCCTCTGAGTCATCAGCCATCCGGCACAAACCTCCGTACTGCACGTTCTGACTTTGGAATGTTCTCTTTGTTGTGATTGTAATCTCTGTATTCATAGTCTGTGTGCCGATCTGTCGAGCGGCGTCCCAGCTACCTAAGTTCTATCCCACGGTGACGGCGAACATCAGTAGCGAGTGGGAAACAAACCGGTATTGTGCTTTATACTAGACTAGCTTTACTTCCCGGCTTCGCCCGGGATTTGGATTCACGACACCCGGCCGCCTTTGTCTCCCCAGTGGGCGATGTTCACACACCACAGCAGTTACTCGGAGTCGACCTAGGGGAGGGAGGCACAGGAGTAGTTCAAATAATCGTCACCGGTGGTGGCCGTGAGCGGGAATCGAACTCGGTTCGCCGGGTTCATAGCGCAGCGCGCTAACCATTACACTACAATGCGTTAAGCTTCCACATGCGCGGGTCACGTGACAGATTTGACGTCACAGCTCACTTGCCGTGCAAAAAAGATATGTATTATTGAGCCCCCCCCCCCCAAAAAAAAAACAAGTGTATTTTTTATAATTTTGCATGGTGTACAGTCTGGAAAGTACACACATGGCAAATTTCAAGTTTGTTGCATGTCGGGAAGTACGCTAAACATTTTGAACAGACACACATAATCACAACTTTGCCTTTTATATATGGAGATAATGTAATTCATGTTGATATATGTAATGTATGTGTATGTATGCACTTTCCCTAGCATTATGTGTCGGCTATATAGAGAGTCCGTGTCTTTGTTGTATGCATGGTAATGTGAATGCATACACTTTTTACGCCTTTTGTAAACTTAGTTCACTTTGTACGTACAATTTATTGTGCAGTGTGTAAACATCAGAAATTGGGAAACAAAGGCGGCCGGGTGTAGTGTTGGCCATCCCACCACCTCATGTGCCGTATCAGCTTTCATAGGTGCTCGCTAACAGCACTCTCCACAACAGTCTGTTAAAGTCTATATACGGGGGATCTTGTATTTGTTTGCATAACGTAACTGTGGATACGTCTATCTATGTGTTGCATGACATGTACCTGTACATGTTGTGTCTTTGTGTATGCATGTATGCAAATTGTTCGTGAATATACATTCCCATATTTGATCTGTTCACTATGTGCTGAGTGTTCATGAACATAACATTGTGTGTATGCTGTATTAATTATATCCACATGTCTTATAACACGTCCATAGTTATTACTGACATTGTGTTTCAGTCCATCATACCTATGGGCCCTTCTAAACCAATGCATATCAGAAGGTTGTAACTTCTGGCATTGTATCACGCAATGTTGATGAGACCTAAGAAAGTCGAAATCGGTTCAGAAGTTCCCTGTTGAAACAAACTAAACTACAAGAAATGTGGAATGGGCACGTTCTCAAAGTTGCAAGCTTAATGAAGGATGTCGTGGAAAGGTTCCGGTTTGTTGGGAAAGAGGAGAGGGTGCTCAGGGGATCATGGACGCCACGGTGGCTATGAAATGTTAACTACCTTGCCAGGTATACAGGAGGTCGTGGGTACGATTTCGACCCTGACACATGCTGTATAATTGGAGTTTGTATGGCTCTCTCCCTGTGGTCGTGTGGATTTTTCTCCGGGTCCTCAGAATTGTTTCCTTTACAATAAGAAACATGCATTTGGAGTGTTTGGCTGCAATACATTTCCACGTGATAAGCCACTAAGTTGAGCTATCATGTATGGCCAGGCCGCTTCTGAAAAAGAGCGATATAGCTAAGTGGGCCTTACCTGGTAAAATAAAAAAAATTGTTCATAATTTGAAGGGTAGGAGCTGTTGAGTGAAATTAAGAATAAAGCTAAAGATCAGAAGGGAAGGAGGGAGTTTGAGCCCAAGACATGCCACGTTTGGCACAGGGCTAGAGAGAGAGCATTTATCGAGCAATAACAGGTCGGTCTGTCTCGCATGCAAGTCACTGGCAGTATATACTTTTTTTCCTGGATTTTTCTGTTTGCGCATAGTCACTTTAAGATGTTTTCTTGTTCATGTTTTTGTTTTTCTGTTTGTTGCGGTTGCACCCGATTCAAGAGCCGAATGGCTCACAGGGCTATACCAAATAAATGAAACTGTTAATTAACATATACGAACTGGGCGACCCGAGTTCGATTCCTGCACACAGCCAACACCGGTCCTAGGCCTCTCGTACGTTGACTCAGTGTGTTAACATCGTCACTAGGAAGACAAAGGCGGCCGGGCGTGGTGTTGGCCACCAACCCCCTTGTGTGCCGTGTCGGCCTTCACAAGTGCTGCTCGCTCAGAGCACTTGCCTCCAGTATCTTAAGTCTATACGGGAGATATTTGTTTTTGTTTTGTACAGTGTATTGAGCTTGTGATCAAGTCTCCCATGATGCACCCGTGCTCGTCAGAGGTCACAAGCCAAGTCGGTGTCGAGCCTAGAAAGTGCTTGGATGTATGGGTGGCCACCACCATGCATGCCAGGTTGTTATAGGTGACTGCGTGGGCTGGGCTACGGGCTGGGCTACGTGCTGGTCATCAGACAACAGGACAAAAAAGTCAAATGTTGTACCCTACTTCTGTGCTCCCAATATTCACCAACCCGCACTGGCCAGGTCATACAACTCCCACGGTCCACACGGTGTGTGGAGGCCCTCATCCTGCAGTGGATCGACAAAGAGGTTAAATATTACGCGTGTTTAATGACAATTCTCTATATACAACAACACATCTGGCCCGAGCTTCCCCTAGGCTGACTCAACATAAAGCACATTTATTATCATAGCAGTTGTGTTAATATCGTCAAGCATGCGTGCATATCGCTCGTCGCACCCACCTCCCAATCGAGTGCCGAAACGGACCTTCATAGGTGCTCACTAACAGACTTTTCTGCAGCTCGACATATGGCTAAGCATGGGACCTTTGTCAACTGTTTGTGTGTGTATACCCTGCTATGGGGAGCGTAATGTCGCGGTTAGCACGCTGTTCTATGAACCCTGCGAGTTAGATTATTTCCGCGCACGGCCAACACCTCTGACGATTATTATCTGAACCGGTCCTGGACTATGTCGACTCAGCCTCAAATGAGTACCCGATGCGATGTGTAAATTTCGCCTCTGGGGAGACAAAGGCGGCCGGGCGTGGTGGTGTTCATCCCCTCCTCGTGTGGCATGCCGGCCTTCATAGGTGCTCGCTAACAGCATTTGCCCTAACAGTCTCCTAAGGCTACACGGGGGATCTTTGTCTTTGACTCTGCTATCAAAGTCATAGTCACCCCCCTGCTCAAACAACACCGCAGGGAATTGCTAATCTCCATTGGCAGCCATTAAAATACGGTGGTGGAAATTCCACATTCCTATCCCGGCAAATGACTGCTACCGTTAAATTGTAGGCTATGCATAAGCGGCATTCTGAAGGCGGCATAATAATAATGACCAGTAAGCTATGTGTAAGTGCCGCTGACAGGCTATGAATCATGTTAGGTAACATTCACGGCACGCACTGCCGTGAGCGAATGAGACCAGGGGG